CGACCGATGAGTCATCACACCAAAAGGGGGTACGTCAGCCTTGCCTGATTTCCCTTAGTCAGCACACAGTCTGATCTATCTCGGGCTCTACCTGAACATACTTTCTGGACACCAGTAGTGAACCAGACCTGAAATAGTTTTCCAATCCAAAATACTGCACCATTACAATTGGGGTTGTGTGACGCCTAGGGAAACTTACGCTCCTCTTCCACGCCTCTTTAGGTCCACCCAGAAACATCGTTGCACAACAGCCACCGACCTTTGCTCGCTCATCCCCGCACAGTCTCAGAGAAGGGAGACTTAATCGCTCGAAAGGAAGTGTTATTCTCCTGAGGTTTTGGGATTTTGTCTCGCGACCTTTACCTGCACTCGGGTCACTAATGACAAAGATTTCACAACGAACATGGATGGCTGATGTGATGATTATTCCGCACGTATGTTCAGCAATAATGTCAGTGAAGGCAGTGTTATACGACGACTAATACTCCGTCCAGTGGAAGCAGTAGCACTGGACTGAAGGGAAAACGCGTCAGTGTTGGTTGATGAACTGCGGGCCTAAGAGTCCTGGCTCATAGGGTGATCAACTCCAAACTCAAGTTTTGCTTAATTAAAAAAGATGCAGTCATCTCTAGAACCTTACCAATGCTCGAATGTGGGAAAGAGGAGAGAAGAGTGACACTGGGGACAGAGAGAGGGGGAGCGAGAGGGATTGGTCTCCGCTTATTCTGCCAGATGGTGGATTAGTTTACAGGACGTGCGCGTCAAGCTGTCTGCGCGAGCATCGTCATCCTCACAACATCTCTGTCTCTCCCTCCCTCTCTTCCGGTCTCATCATATTTCTCACCGTGTTTTCCTGTAAATACCTTCTTTAGCTCGCTTGGCGCTTGAGAAACTAATCCCTGATTACAAAAAGATAATGGAGTCGAGCTCGACGAATGAGACGCAATCAACAAATATCGATAAGAACCTCAGAGTTTTCGACAACCTCCCGGTTACCGATCGCGGTTTGTACGAACTCACCGTGCGAACCGCCTCTCTTTCACCTTACGCCATCCTCACGGAGTGTTTAAATCGCAGTTGCATTCCTGAGAACGATTTGCGGTCAAGCATGACTTCGCTAGGGCGAAACCAACACTACTTTGAGCTTGGGATTGGTGACAACAACGTCAAGGTGAGTCTCCTGCCTCTCACTTCGCAAAAAACCAATCGCTCACGACTAATGCGTAGGATCTGTAATCCGTACGCACATATTTTTTTGCCTTGTAAAAAAATCCTCTTCACCTCATGCAGCAAGTCATTTGGATCATCTTTTTTTTCACAACTTGATTTGAAGACTACCACCCACGAAGTTGCCTCCTTAAGTTATTTGAACCCCTTAAATTCAATCAAAATCCCCGACTTTCTCCTCATTGCCTCCAATTCTTCTCGCGATTTCTGCACTTGGTTAAACTGAATGAAATATAAATTTACCCTCCATTCTTCATCTATATAGTTTAGAGTCACAGTATCTTCATTAGAACCTTCAAATGACCCTCTTTCTCAAGTGTTTTTCCTTTCCCTAACTTTTCCTTGAATAAGTTGTTTAAATGTAGAGCTTGTACCCCATAATCGCTTATTTTTCCTTTCCGTCTAGTTCTGCTTGTTCTACTGTCAAACTGTGTGTGCCATCTGTATTATATGTTCGCGCGTTGAATCTGGCCGGGTCCTTTACCACCACCGATTGTTCATGTGTTCTCTTTTCGACGCGTACGTGCATTTTAAGCACTGCGACCGTATTAACCACCAGTAATGCTTTAGCAACTGGATATCGAGCTAGTTTAGCATGGCTTTGCGCATATTTTCTAACAGTAATCTCTTCCTGTACAGCCACTGACTCCGCGGACCAACATTTGTCAATCTGTCTCACTATTACTCACTAGAAGACGCTAAAAAATATCTGGCTCTCAATAGAGGCTGCAGGTAGACACGGATACCCTCTTTAGTACTGATTTTTCTGTAGCAGTGCCCCTATGTAAATGAATGATTAATGCTCATCTATCAACACTCTTCCACCTTGTCAAAATATCTGGCCGACTCCTCTATTTCTGTTTTTTTTGCTAACAAGAGGCTATCTTACTCTGAATGAAGACGGCATGTTTTTTTCCTGTTTTTTTTTCCGATGCGTTACTGGGGCACCATGTGCTTTCTCATGGACATTTTTTCAAAGAGGCTAATGGAAACTTGTCTGTAGTATGGATAATCTTGCAGCCAGTAATGAAATGCTACACGTAAATCAGGCGAACACAGTGGTTATTTTGTAGATAGTTTTGCAGTTTCCTCGAGGACTACCGTCAGCGATCCATGCTTCCTTTTCCTTAACAACCAAAGACTAAAGGTTCAATTTTTACTGGCTTACCGCTCAATCTAGCGACTGGGTATTCGAGGCGTTCAGAGTTATTTGGTAGTGGAATAGCCCTCAACTAGGGTGAGCTGCAAAAAAGTGGATATGCACCTACTACATAAGCTTTCTTGGATCAGCAGAGACAATGCTGTCAGAATGCAGGGGGCCGAGATGTGGCGCACCGACTGTCCTCTGAAATGCGGCCATGAGCTGACAGTAAATTACTGGGGTTCCAGTCATTTGTCCTGTACTTTAGTTTATCGAGCCAAAATCATGTATGACGACCTTGAGCAAACGACCTTATTGGCTGTTGGCCAGGCGCCTGTATTCGCAATTCCCACAAAAACCTCACAAAAATATACGATAAACTATTGGATGTAGGTTAAGGGTCTACAGGCATTGACATTTCCGCGGTTGTCTTATAGCAGGTGAGCTGCTCATTTCCATCGACATGGACACACTACTGATTGTGCAATAGATAATCCATCTCCGCATTGGAAACACCTGCGAAGGAGATAATGGTATATTTCTACTTCTTATGCCGAGCTACACAACAACCAATGCATCATTCTGCTCAGTGTTAAAGACGGTGATTCACCATCTATATCTCCGTAGTGGAAGGGAACACGGGAAAGAAACTCAAAAATCTCGACTTCTCCAGTGGACATACGCAAGAATGTACCTCGTGCCGGAAGTATGACAGCCCAGTTGCCGTCATTGATGCTGACTTCAACCATCCGTGCTGTCGGCACTTCACTGTCAACAAAATGCCCCATTGTTTCATCCTCAAAGACCTTTACTGTAGTTTTAGGATACACCTGTGCTACCTCGCCGATTCCATTAGTCCTAAAATACAACGGGCCTTTTCGCCACCATGGGAAGGTCATGCTTAACCTATACGATCACATAGTAATTGGCATTTCTAGAACTTCAGTCATCAAGTACGCTTCAATTTCCAATACATTTTCATCAGGAATTTAAAGTGACATCTCGTCAGTTCTTCCGTCTCCCAGCAAAATTATTATTTCAGACTATATTCAGGCTTCGATAAAGTTGAAGGAAGTTTAGTTGGATACCAGACCCGAACAGCGTTCTTTGGAAATGCGTAGGGAATTGTCGTCACCCTATCGCACCGATCTTTGATTACTCGTGGGAATTCGTCAAACTGCCTGAACTGCGTCGCCGGATCCATCTTCTGCTACTTTCTCACTAGAGGCTAGAGTGCGAAACTTACCCACACTTATCAACTCTTGCTAACATTTTTCCCTTTTAATGCACAATAGGGCACTCATCTGACCAGTATTGCCTCCTTAAATCGGTTGAAGAAATGAATACACGTTGACGACCACTTTTTTCGCTGTTAGCAATTTGTCGTTTAAGGGAAAAAAAGCAGTGTAACTTGTAGGTAGAAAATTCAGCAAACGACCTACACTGAGGATTCAATAACCGTACTAACATAGTCAAGTTATTAACTATCCTAGGTGTCCATCAATCTGTTCCCCGCGTTCCACAGTTTTTCTTAGGTCCGCCATCCTTTCATTGCCATCACGACATTATGCTGTTAGCACCCATTAATCCTTTTTTACCTTTTTGCTTTATCTGGGAATCATACACTTCGTTACGATTTTTACCAATTCACTGGATGCAGTGATTATCGGGGTTTTCCCTAGTATATTCCAATTATTTATCCTCTTCCTTTCCTTCTTGGAAGTAAATGTGTTGTCATGTGGCTTTTGGTCCCATGTATATGTTTTGAAGCGACTGAGCCTTTAGTGTGTTTTGGAATTGCTCGGTTTCTTTCTTATTTGATTAGTTTAATTTCGGATATCTCCGTACCATTGTTCGTTTGAATGCTTCGTTCTTCGATTGACCCCGATCAACTGCCTATTGTCAGTTGCCGTGATTTTACACTTTGATGTTAATGTCGTTTTCGTTGCTGTCTTACGTTTGCATTCCCCCGTTAGGTACATTGCAAAAATAAACGCGAAGGCCGTCATCTGGCGGCTCAGGAACTGCTGGCCCTCCTGCATCCTCAAGTGAAGACATGGGGCGGCATGCTGGCATTATATGGGCCAGGCAGCAAGCCGGACAAGAAATGCGATTCCGAGGCTATCTTGGATGCGCAAATGCGCTCTCCAAACACCGTCAAGTCCAGCCTAATCCGATTGCTGAAGATAAAAATGCTGGAACTGGCCGACCAATGGGTAAGTTCTTTCAGTGAGCAGACTGATAGACACCTGCCTCATGTTACTGTTCTGTGTGACTACGGAGCATTTTAATCTGACATGCACAAGTCTGGGAGATGATCCCACTGCTTGTACTTATGAGTTGGCTGGTCTACTGGCCGTGTCCCATGCATTACAGCACAAGTTGCTTTAATCATTCGGCCAAGCGTTTGGCGTTTTTGTAAGGGATTTATCTTCTCTACTGAAAGACGCCATTAGAGTGCATAAATGTACTCGGGATGCCTAATGCTGATTGTAAGTTAGTTAACTTTTTGCAACTTTAGTTTTGTCACATATATCACTATTGGGAGGCATACAGAGACCTGTGCGTAGGAAGGAAAAACACCAGGTAATTGGGGCGAGTGAAACCGATGCCGTGCAGCTATTGCTCAGTAGGATGCAGTGCACACGTAACTTATGTACCTGAAGGTTAATGGCAGTTTTCTTGCATAATCCACTCTTAAGTAGGGATTTTGTCGCCTACTACCTTTATAAAGCCTTGAAGGCTGTTTGATTGTAGGGTATCAACTACATGTCATCTAATTCTCACTATCTCGTATGATTTCCCTTCGCTAACTGCCAGTGATGGAAAAAGTTGTTGAAAAAGGGTTGCGGTCATCTTCACTACTTGACCAAAGAAGCAGAAAAACCTTTTTTGCACGCCATCAGTGTTGATTAGAAACTTAAACTTATTCTTCTCCTACAGTTTGTTTACACCCCTTAGTCCAAAATTGAACTGTTCTCGTTTTCTAGCAACATGTTTGGTTTACACTCCTATATGTGCCAGATCGATTGAAGTTATTTGGCATTTCCACCATCACAAGTTTCTTGCCCTATCTTCCTAGTCGCCGAATACTGTCTTTGAGAAATTGAAGCACTTGTCTAGGTATTTAGGTAGTACCTGTAGGGGTCTAAGTCGTGGTTGTGCCTAGATCACTACAATCATCAGGTCGA